AAAAAAGTCAGAATTCTGAGATTATCTGTATCTCTTCGTATCTCTTAGTTTGCCTTAGTTTAATGAAGCTGTAAATAATGATAGAAATTATGTTCCTCTCCAGTACTGCAGCACATTGAGTTGAAAATTCTTGTTAAATTCTACATTTCATCTTAACTTGAAAGACAAAATTTGAAAATTCCAAATAATCCAGAAACTTGTTGATAACACTGACTTAAAAATGTTCTGAACACACAATATAGAGCAGCAAAAATCCAGACTTTCCTTCCCTCATTTCACGAGAGAAGATGGTGATCCAGACCAGCTTCCTAAATATTGAAGCGACAGACTCCTGTGAAGGCCTTAAAATAATAATTCTCAGTAACAGAATCATTTTTTTAGCCCTCAATGAATTATTCTTGGTGGCCCGCGTGCCAAAAAGATTAATTTCTCATATTTAGGAAACTTAAAATTAGTAGTCTAGATTCTCCACTGACCACTGAAGAAAGCAATGGTAGATAAATTTGGTCTGTTATATAGAAAACGACTACAGTCCAAAAACATGAATACTAGTTTAATTGGCTTCTCTAAATTCCCCTTAGTTGTGAGTGTGTGCACGAATGGTGGTTTGTCCTGTTTGTCTCTGTGTTGCCCTGTGATGGAATGGTGACCTGTCCATGGTGTACCCCACCTCTCACCTCTAGACAGCTACAGATAGGCACCAGCACCCCTCGTGACCCCGCTTGGGATAAGCGTAACAGTAAATGGATAAAACAACTAGAATAAAACTCTTAACATCATGACTTTAGTATACTGCAAAGCTCTATTGGATATGTCTACTATAGTGGAGGGGTCCACAGAGGTACTGCATGGGGGTTGCGAAAGTTTTGGTTAATTAGAATTTTTTTATATTCCCCCCTGCCATTTTTTTCCAATAATTGAAATGTCTTTAAATACACATTAACGTGAATTCAGCGCACTGTAGTAAACAGATAAATGGAGGCATAATATGTCCTTCAGTCATCAATGCTCACATTCAGCGACACACAGGAGCTCTTTCAAACTGGGCACGGTTTCATTCACAACACCTGTCCCATCAACCAGGAATCAGAATCAGAAATACTTTAATAATCCCAGGGCGAAATTACTGTAGGACCAGTTGGATAGAATACAATTTCATACAATTTATAAAATTAGGGGTCCCCGCTCCTTCTTGCCATCAGTTTGAAGGTCCTTGGCCTGGAAAACGTTGAAGACCCTGCTATAGAGGGTAGGCTTGTTTAGCCCTGGCTAATTGTTCCAAATGTGATTAAAAAATTGGCACTTATTTGAAAATGTTTTGGAGCTGCTGTACAAGAATCCAGAAGTTCTTCAGTGGGGTGAGAGATTAGTTTGAGCATTCATTCCTCCAGTGCATCTTTGCTTCTAATGTGAATAATGTAAGGAAGTTTCACAATGCTAAATCAATTGAAAAAGATTCTAGCTTGTGAGGGCATCTTCAGTCTTTTTGGTCTTTAAGGAGTCTCCCATATAAAGACTCCCCATATATACTCTACCGACAGCGGCCCTTCTATACATGGAATAAAAGAGGAAATGAAAGTTGGCACAGTGGGTAGCACTGCTGCCTTGCAGCAAGAAGGTTCTGGGTTTGATTCCTGACTTTCTGCATGGGGTTTTCATGTTCTCCCTGAGCATGCGTGGGTTCTCTCCGGGTACTCTGGCTTCCTCCCACAG